CTTCTCATCTGTACACACTCCTTCTCATCTGTTCACACTCCTTCTCATCTGTTCACACTCCTCCTCATCTGTACACACTCCTCATCTGTTCACACTCCTTCTCATCTGTTCACACTCCTCCTCATCTGTACACACTCCTCATCTGTTCACACTCCTCATCTGCTCACACTCCTTCTCATCTGTTCATACTCCTCATCTGTACACACTCCTCATCTGTTCACACTCCTCCTCATCTGTTCATACTTCTTCTCATCTGTACACACTTCTCATCTGTTCACACTCCTCATCTGTTCACACTCATCTGTTCACACTCCTCATCTGCTCACACTCCTCATCTGCTCACACTCCTTCTCATCTGTACACACTCCTCATCTGTTCACACTCCTTCTCATCTGTTCACACTCCTCATCTGTACACAATCCTCATCTGTTCACACACCTTCTCATCTGTACATACTCCTCATCTGTTCACTGCTTCTCATCTGTTCACACTGCTTCTCATCTGTTCACACTCCTTCTCATCTGTTCATACTCCTCATCTGTACACACTCCTCATCTGTTCACACTCCTCCTCATCTGTACACACTCCTCATCTGTTCACACTTCTCATCTGCTCACACTCCTTCTCATCTGTTCATACTCCTTCTCATCTGTTCACACTCCTTCTCATCTGTTCACACTCCTTCTCATCTGTTCACACTCCTCATCTGTACACACTTCTCATCTGTTCACATCCTCAGAATAAAATTGGAAGCCTTTCTATCTGAAGAAAGTTGGAGGGCAGTGTGGGAAGAAAGGAAGAGAGGAAGGAGAGGAGAAGGAAATACAGCATGTTCACTCCAGAGCTCAGTAGGCACCACCACCAGGTTCCCTTTCCTACAGACCATATCAAGGCCAATGATGCAGACTATAAACTAGTTAATCCAAGAGGGTGCAGATATACCACCTGGGTGTGTGGCTAACAGAAGTTAATGTCCCTTTTTTCTTAGAAATGACAGTTCATTCAAACAGCCAATGTAGATGATGCATTAACCAAGGAGATGATAAAATGGCAATTAAAAATTTGACTTTGTTTTTATGTAAATCTTTTTCAGAGAAAAGAAAGCACCTTCAGCAAGAGTATTCGCCACATTCTACAGTGCACTTCACACAGCAAACAGAAAAGCATCTTTATGAAGTCTCTCTCCCAGTAAAACCAAACATTCCAATACTGTTTTTAAAAATGTGTGTGTGTGTTCCTCTCCAGAGCTGGTAAATCAGAAACACCAGATTCTCCTAGAGCTGGTGTAGTGATACTTTGTGTTTTAACAAATAATGCTTGTCTGAAGATCAGAGTGCAGAGTTAAGCCACTAGTGGCCAGGCACTGGTGATTCACACCTTTAATACCAGAACTTGGGATCCTGTGCCTTTAATCCCAGCACTAGGTAAGGGAAGAAAGGAGTGATATAGCTGGGCGGAGAGAGGAATATAAGGGAGGAGACAGGAGCTCAGTGTGGTCTGAGGTTTGGTGGAGACAGTGCAGTCTGGAGATGCAGTCTGAAGCGGTCAGTCAGAGGACGCAGTCTGAGGTAAAGCATTTTCCCAGCATGTATAAAGCCCTGGGTTCAATCACTATTTGGGGATGGGTAGACTCATTATTAAAATTCCCTCCTTCTGACTGAGGCAAAAAAAAAAAATCAATCAGACAATTTGGAAACCCATTTTCAGAGAAAATAAAAATAGTACACCTTGTGGAGCTATTTCTACTGTAGACATTTTTGGATGCGATTGCTGAGAACATGAATTCTAAGTAGTGAAGAGTATGTTATTTCTTGCTTCTGCTGGAACTGATGGAATTAAAGACCATTTCCTAAATAGGAATAAAGCATGTCTGTGTGGGTGTCTCACACTCCCCATTACTGTTCTTACTAACTCAATAGTTGGCATTTTGTTTAAAAATGCTATGGCTGGAGAGCGCTTGTTGTTTTGGAAGACCTGAATTTAGACCCTTCCCCTACACCAGACTGCTCTCAACAAA